AAAAAAATAAAGGAAAACACTCACCTCTCGTGACACCTTGCAGTTTCATGAGCGGATGACAATTTGCTATAGCTTGACGAGCTATCACGAAAGGATCCAGCTCAATTTTGCTCTAAAACGAAACTCTTTGAAATTTGCTGGAGACATTATTTACAGTTTCTACCTTTTCTTCTTCTGTTTCTGCTTTCCGCCAAGCTTTATACTGCCGCCTCTTGATAATTTCTAAAGCCGCATAAACATGGTATCTGGCAGTCTCTTTTCGCCCGCTATTCATTATTACTCGAGTCAGCTTATCAACCTAGATTGTGTTAGAAAAGCCTAAACAATCCCGAAAAAAGGCTATTTATACAAAGCAAAATAAATATAACTTAAGGCATTATAAAATAGACTCACTGTGTGATCTCTATAAAACACAGGAGTCTCATCACTCTTCATCGCCTTCAAAAATAAGAAATTGCGTTCATCATTCTCATCTAAAGGCTGATGCATCTGAAATTTCAGAGATAATGAATAGTTTAAAGACGCTGGAAAATGAAGAGAAAGATTAAGAGGATGGAAAAAAAGACCAAAAAAAAACCCACTTCTTTGATGTCCGTGATGGGGTCACGAAACAACCGCGGATCATAACGGTTTTGAGATAAACTACTAGTTGAAACAGAACGCGAAGCACAAGCCAACAAGCAAGGTAATCGAGTCGCCATGAAATCAAACTTCTTCTGGAAAGTATGCTTGACGCAAAATAAAATGATTTTAAAAAAATCAAGAAGAAAGACATGCTGCTTATTCTAGAAATGTTAAAAATTGCGAAGAATACATAAGAAAAAGAAAAATAGCTCATATTGTGTTAGTGATTTCGTTAACAGGTACAATATAACCTTCTGCGAACCAACTCCTAAATAAAACAGTTGAATGAGTTAATATTCATATAATAAAGTACAGGTATGGAAAACAAACCTCACTGATCTGAAAAAGAAAAAAAGTTAAACATTTATCAGTTAACAAGTGAGAAACGTCACTTTGATAAAACAGTACCAGTACCTAAAAGAGTGAAAATAGCCATAACAGAAGAGCAATTTTTTGGAACTAGGTGGTGTACTAAAACACAGAAGCGGCAGACCGAGCAGGAAACAACACTGAAAGGAAAATAAACATATATAATAAATTGAGAATGTTGTAAGAAGAAAGGATGATTTTACAAAAGCGAACTGTTTAACCCGCATGACTGGACAAGATGGGTGTAGATAAGAGACAAAACGTTATAAGATTGTGAATCGATTAATGGGCATATAGGGATACGCACGGAAACGCCCAATTTTGTGGCCATGTAAAAAGAAAAATTCGCGGAAACATTCGTCACAGAACATCATGTATGGCGAGGGAAGACGTTCACATTCTTCAACGACAAACCTGTAAGAAGTCTGAATACTTCTCGAAAAAAAGTCGCAAGCAAAAAAAAATCATATTGCATTATGTAAAGTTCCACTTAAGACTGAATTAAGGATAAAGCAGGTTTATGCGAAGAATTTCATTTTCGCAAACAAAAGGAGTAAATCAGGTCATATATAAGGATGTAATTGGCCAAAGAACAACAAAGAAAGAAAATTTCTCGTAGATGACTCACGCTGCATAACCACGTGCACATGCAGAACAGCGTATATCCCCCTTCTTCTCGAAAACCACTAGAGGATAACGGTCCAAGTCCTGGAAATTCAATGATGAGTTGAAATGCAAATCACGTATCTTTAGGCTGGACGCAGATTTATGTTAACCTTTCAGTAATCTAATACCCCCTCGTGGATGAGAGGCATATTCTATTGTTATTTTCCATAAAGTTCCAATACCTACTGGAATGAAGACGAAAAAAACGAAAGTGTCAGAGGGACATTCTGATTTCTTGAAACTCTTACTGGACATACAGAGAAGAGCAATGTCAGAGCTCAAAACATACCAAGCGATAAAAGATTGGTAAGTAGTAGGTATGGAAAATAAGGCAGTTGTTGGCATTAATAGAGAAAAAAAGTCAAGCAAAAGTAGAACGAAGCGAGATGCATTAACAATGTATACAAAGAGAGAGATCTCTTACTTGGACATCCGTCCTCTCCATTAATCTCAGGTCATGAAACACTAGCAAATGTTCGCAGTTTCCTGAGTGCTGGAACACGTACGGTTGACCCAACCTAAAAAAAATTAAAGGGGTTTTACAGATTATGAAGCAGGAATAAAAAGGAATAAAAATTTATACCTCAATTTCAAGTCAATTATCTTCACTCCCTCTATGTTGCGCGAAGTTACTGGATCAAAACATTTCTTTCTGGCCATGAATTCCCGTATAGGCCTCAAAAATCAGCAAAACAATGGGGAAACTGTATTGCTACTAACCACACCGTTGCTCACCACGAAAGCTGTCACTTATAATTTCAGAGAAAGTACTCACTCCGATATATCTTGAGACTGTGGAAGTGTGTAATCGATGTAGAAAGTGTCATGAATGAAAACAAACGATGAAGGGTACAGCAGCATATGCGTCTGAAGCCTAAGTATATCTTACGCATTTTGCATTAAATAGTATTGGAGCTACTTCAAAAAAATCATCCTACCTTATTTTGATCAACCGGTTCCAATTCTTTACCATCTTCCAACTCAACAACTGTATCACAAATACACAACTAAAAATTAAACATAAGCAAAGTCAAAAGTGAAAAGAAAGTCTAGGTACTCACGATTTTCTGTCTCAAACTCAAGAGGGTAGAATCACCTCGCAGCATTAGCTTCCTCTCTGCTGAAAGCTGAAAGTAATATATGGTGTCTAAAGAGGGAAAATATTATTTTCGTCGCAGGTGAGTCACGTCAAGATAGATATGGAATTTAAAAACCATATGTTAAAGAAAACTCACAAGCCTAGTATTTCTTAGTTCAGCAGAAGACAGGATTCTGTTATGAGGTACTATGACGGTACATGTGATGATGATGTCTTTGGCACATGGCAGATTCGTGGGGGTGCCGAAGCTTCTTCGCAGCTGAATCGAAGTAATTATTAGTCAAAAGAACTCTTAAGCAATGATGGCGTTTTCAAATCAGGAAAAATGACCAGATCAAAGTGGCGCATTAGAGGGGAGAGAAGCGGGTGCTAGTTAAAAGAACTCCTTTCTTCTTTTTCTAACTGATTGTTAGAATTTCCAAAAAATTTTGAATCAATGAAGTAAATTTGCACTGCTCCGAACAAAAGGCCGGCTTGATCCTGCCACATGCCACTCTCCCCTTATTTCGCTCCCTCAAGAAAATTCCTGCAACTGCCAATTTTACAATTTAGCAGGAGGTCAGAGAAATGCTTTTTGCTCCATGTTACATTTGCTCTACGTTTGAAAAGTCCATATTATTACTCGCACGATTTTTTTAAAGTCTACGATCTGCCGATCAGTGTCGGAATCTGAATACACAGACGCAACAAACGAATTTGAAAAAAATTCAGTTCGGAGTAGTGTCCTGCAACCTTTTTCCAAAAAATACTCGAAAACAAAATAGTGAAAAAGATGTTCAAAACAAAAAAAAACAGACAAGAGTTTACTACCTCTATTTCATATTTTAGCCATTTTCCAAAGCTAAGAATGCTAT